TTATTTACATTTTTATTAAATGTATATACACTTAAAGGCCTCTTAATAGCTAAAATTAAATATATTTACCTTTATAAAGCCATGTAACATGAAAAAAATCATGCTTTTATACCCGTATAAGCAATTTACATGTAAAGGTCTGGGTGGGGACTGTCCCGGTGTTTTGTGGCTGTCCCGGAATTTTGTGGCCAACTAAGTGGCTAGCCCACTTAGTTGCCAACGGGTATAGGTGAGAAGATAGTTGCACCAAGTAGGTTGTATTCCATTGACTATCCACCCGATCGTGTGTCGAGGCATTCGCTTACGTCTGAGGACACATGGGATAGATACTATTGAGGTTCGGATCAATAGGTGAAAGGTACGGGATCATTTTTGGCAAGATCGCGCGATTTGGAGTGACGACGACAGAACAGTTTCGTTATCCATGAGGTTTGGTCTCGAGCACAGCCATTGGCAGGGCGTTTTAGCCAGTTGGTTGAACAGAACAATATAATGAATACACAAAGTATGGGAGCAAAAAGACATTGTAAAATAACAGGCTAATCAGTTAATCATTTCAGGGAGTCGACATCCGTCGGCGGGACCGGCCTTTGTTGTTTAGGGTTGGCAGAGTGTCCAAGGACTTGGTATGCCAAGAGAGCGATCCGAGCTGCAGAGCACTTTTCTGCAATAAACTTTGTTCGTCGGCCCCCTTTAAAAAAAATGCAGTGTTTCAATCAAGCTTTCTGTTGGGATGACGATGACGAAATCTGGAGGCGCAGTCCTCCTGTGAATCATCTCGAAATAATGGTTCGATCTTCGGAAGGAGTAGGATCCGCCGGATGGGGCAAAAACTGACATGAGCCGATAGACTTGTAATAAGCCACAGGCACCTTCACCGGCGTACAAGTGTCAATCCCTGCGCCCTCCCGCCGGCCGGACCCGAGGATGGGAAAGGTGGCACCACCTCTCCGGGCGTGGGCATCTCAGGCACCGCTTTTCCCAGGCCCATCCGTCAGCCAATTCCCTCAACGGACATTGGTCTGCCTCGAAAGAGAGGATGCTGTACTGTCTCGTTGTCCATACTACCGGGTACAAAGTGGGCAACCCCGTAAGCCAGTAGTACCATTCCGGACAGCTGCCCCCCGGCCATTGGTCAACAGGCAGAGCCGCTCGTGGCCAGTGGTATGATAATTGCGACCAACACCGTCGATATCTGCCCACCACGACTTCGACCACACAACGTCTCTCCCTAGCAAAGCAAGGCTGAGCAATCCATGGGCTGAGAAATCAAAGACGCCGGAAAATATTCCTGTCAAAAACGAAAAAGAAAACGTCATGTGCGGGAGGTGTCATGCCGTGCCGCCAGGTACAAAAAGGCACGGCATGCAGCCTCAAGCAGACGTCACAGTCATCCATACCACATCAAGTGCATCGAATACAACATTAGTAGCCGACAAAGGCAATCTCTACTCCATACTCTCTGCGAGATCAAACTCCACTCTACAATAAGCATTTAATTTGTTCTTCAAGTACTCTACTTACACAATGAACTCTGCCGTCTCGCGCATCGCATCGCGGAGGTCATTCTCCCTCCTCACAGCCGCCCGCTTCGCCGCGCGGTCTATGGAATCTCATCCCTTCCAGCGCCTTTCCGCTACACAAAGATCCGCCAAGGCCGACTGGGCCCGCGAGGGAAAACGCCTGGGCAAACAGCTGGTCACGTAAGATCTACACCCTACAAGGGGGGGAGACTTGAGAGCGTCGCAAGAGCAGACGAGTGCTAATGCGGTACAGATTCGTCCCCGGCATCTCCATGCTACTGGGCTGGCCGTACCTTGCCAAGGTCATTGCTGATGGGCACGTCTGACTTGATGGTGTCGGACGCGCCTTCTATTGTGAAATGCATGAGGAGGGGGCGAGGCGCCCGATTCCGAGGATGCTGGATTTTGTTTCGGAGACTCTTTGACGGTATATATTTAGCGGCATTGTACATATGGTGTTTTGGGAGGCATTTGCATTGGATTTATTATAATATTCATCACTAGCCACCTCCGACCCTGTGATGATTCCCGTACATGACGACAGTACTACGAGGGACCCGGACATGAAGCCCCAAACCCCCCGGTCAATGTACAAGCCCAGAAGACCCGGTGTGATTGGCTGTGATCCCACTCAAATCAGACTGCGACCGACTCTTGGATTGTAGCTCAAGCTCATCTTTAGTAATATGTTCATGGCTCCCGCTGCGAATCGTCGTCCAGCCCATGCCTCTCTGGATCCTGTTCTCCTTTGCCCGTCTCTCCAGTCGAGATAACCTGTGCCCGCCTGGAGGAGGGCCCGATAATCCCCCTGCATCACTTCTCCTGGAGCCACCACCAGAATGAATACCGCGTAGATTGCGGATGGTGCGAGCGATCCAGGGTCCTATGATGGGGATGTCGGTGGCAATGATGCCGACAAACTAAGCCACATCAGAAATTAGAATGGTGCGGGAACCGGCATTCAAAGTCTGGAAGTTCTGGCTCACCGTTTCTCGAACGGACCAGATTAAAGCGACGTTGGCTTTGGTACCGTTTAGGAGGCAGATGATGCAACGGAGAATAGCAGCGACGACGACGAAACCCCCCGTGCAGAGCCAGATTCCGCAAAGTAGCTTCCTACACGCGACTGGTTAATTTCCCATTCGAGCTGGAGTCGTGATGAACCTGCCTGTGCCACGGCATTTGGACCTTCCAAAGCAGCGGTAACGGAATCGCTACAATCATCAAGTCGGTGCTACGACATGTTAGTTTTCTCCTGCTCGTGAATTTTTTTTTTTTACTATAGCGACTTGGTGAGAAACAGGAGTCCCAACCTGACGTTTGTGACGAGCAGCGCGTAATGCATGGGCGTGCCCAGAGCACAGGCATCTACAACTCTCTTGTTGTTAATAGGGTGTGCCAGTACGTCGAGTTGCCACGGGGTTGACGTACCGCCGGGATATGGGTGAATCTGCCACTTCCTTTGTATCGGCGTGCAATGCGACCAGATGACGGCAATGAGGGATATGTATGCAGCGACGCAGGCCACGGCCGTGATCTTGACCATTTGCCGCTGCTTGAGGTCCAGGCTTGTGAGAGTCAGAGCAAATCAATCAATACGTCCCGGTCTACTGTGCAGAAACCCGGGGGGGGGCTTGGCTCACGTTAACCTTCCGTAGAGAAAGAGCATGCAGGCTTTTAGTGCCCAAATCAGAGAGACGTAGATGCACCAGCCTGCCAAGATGCATTTCGCCCTAATTACGATATTGTGCTTCTCGTCGTCGGTGAGTGTGAGGATTCTGTGTTCGTCGAGGCCTGTGAGGGACCCGTGTGTTCCTATGGGCCGGTCAGTTTGCTCACCACGCTTTTGTCAAAACATCGTGGATAACCATCCCTCTGGGAGTATGCACCTATCAAATAAAACATACACAGCTCTGCCTATTCGTCCACGCGTTAGACACTGTTTTGGATCTCACAAGTAGCAAGATTTGCACTCACTGTCCAGAGAATAATGGCCAACAAGGCAAAGTAGTCATCTCCATCCCACTTCATTCCCACCACGCTGGTGCGGCAAAGTATTCGGGCAAGGAGGACACAGATTCCCAGTGCGTACTCGGTCCATGCTTCGGTTGCATATGGGCTTACGGGCATGGTAGGTCAAGGTCTGCTGTCGTCATTGAAGTAGCTAGGCTGACTGGAAGCTATCATCCAGTTGTGCAAAAGCTCGTGGCAAGAAAATCACTCCAAGTGAATAGTCGTACGATCTTGTTGGTGTTTTGTTGGCAGGATCAACGCCAGAGAGGCGGGATTTCTATACCGAGCTGCTCTCGCTTGTCTCTCCTTGTCCGGCATCGCAAATTCGAGGCTAGTGCACACCACTTCATGATGTTGACTCTCTTTTCTCCTTGACCGATTTGTGCGGTATCTGTATTCCAAAGTACATCATGGTTTTGTGACAGCGGCCAAGGACACAGGCCAGCAACTGCCCCGAGGGCGGATGCGACGGATCGGGGATTCATACGCGGCAGAGCTAAACCGCCAGGTCTAATAGCTACTGAGGCATCTTTTGGCCTATCCTGGACCAAAATTGCAATTCCGCAGCCCCGTATCCTGGCACTTACGGAAATTGCGCCTGAATCCCGTATCTACCCTCAATAATCAGTAGTCATTTACGCGCCACCATGTTGGACCGACTACGACAAACGGAATGTTCTCATGTTTTGGCGGCGCTCGAACAGAAGTACCTTGATTTTGCTTTTATTTCATCGGAACCTCCTCTTTCAGATGCAGTAGCGTAATTTTTTGTTTGTCTTGGCATACATGCGGCTGCGAGTAATACTAGAGGTGGGTGTCATTGTCTATGGTACGAAACCACGGGCTAAACGACGAGTCAAATGTCATAGCTTTCACCGCAAGCCATGTTTCTCACAAGTATGGGTAAAGCGGACAAACAAGCGGTGTTTGCGTTGGGCCGATCGCACTTCGTTCTCCGGTCATTAGTTGTCGCCGTAAACCGCGTCCGTATCACGTAGCCTTCCTTTTGAGAGTCTGGTCACAGAAGTATCTGTGCCTGAGACAAGTCTGCTGGGTTAACTAGTCAAGTAGCAAGTCTTGACTTTTTCCCCCTCTCGGGGGAAAGTATCCATGCACTGTTGTATGCCATTCAGCTATGTCTGGAGGATTGTGAAACCTTCTTGCCGCAGCTTTCGTATTGCCTCTTCCTTAAGCTGGCATAGGGATACAATACTCAGAATCTTTCTGACATAGTTTGCCGAGACGTTTGTACTGGCCGGATCAGGTAAGCGAGCAATGCTTGGGTGGTGTGCATTCTCGGCCTTCCCAAATCATCTACGACACAGGAAGACCCGAGCCACTCATAACCCGGAAGGGGACGTGTCGCCTTTGGCCTGCATACAGCGCAATGCGCTTGCGATATGACGGGCAGAGTAGAAGAAAGTAGCCCACAATGTTTCATTTTAGTCCAATTGTACTAAAACGCCAACAGCTACACAAGTTTTGCCATCCTCGACGAAGTGCCTTAAACACCCCGTCTTGTGGTTGGTGATCCCCCCCTCTTTGGTTACGCCGAGCTTTTCCATCAGCGTCTCTGCCAGAAACAGTGCTCTGGTTCAGGCTACAGCGAGCCTATCCTTCGGTAAATTTGGCGCCGCTGGGTGCCTGCGACCCCAAGGCGACGAAGGGCCAAGCACGACTTATAAATCTAGGTAGCCGGTCTAGCTATCAATTTGGTTGAATCAAGCCTGAACAGTCTTTACTGGATACAAACTGTCCATTAACCAACGACTGATCCCCGTCCCTAAGTCTGATCTGTGCAGGGCGTTCCCAATTTAAGAGGGCAATGCCCTTCTTTCGCTCTGTACGGCGCTGACCATTGAGGACGACCGTTGTTACAACCGTGGAGTTCCCCTTGCCATCATCATTAAATACAACGTCCTTTGGGGGTGGCTTTGGAAAATCTGGCCAGCCAATATACTCAGGTGCTTCTGTATAAACAGAAATTTGTCTCCCACTCTGTCTTCTATCCACCCACTCGTTTAATTCCGAGCGGAATTCTGTAACAGAGTGGTCAAGTTGGACATCTGGATGCTGTACCCACTCATCCAGTTCTTGTACGTCGGCCGGATTTTGTTCATAGTGGGGAACATCCCGGAAATGCGTGTCCCGGGTGATGATTTCATATAGGGTGAATATGACGCCCTTGATATCGTTTCGGTCCTCTCCATATCCGATGCCGCCGATGCGGCCGCTATAGTTGAAGTCGAACAACATAAGGGCGTCTGTCTTGGGGTCGATGAGCAGATTTCGCGCCGAGACATCCTGGTGGGCGATGCCATGTTTGAGATTTAAGTCGTCGATGACGCAAGTTAGCTGCCGAAGCCACTTGAGCTTAAATTTACGTGACTTATTCTTGCTCAAGGTGCCGCCAGGTATGTAAAGGGTTGTAAAGCCAACGACGCGGCCATTTACTTCGTCTAGCACAAGTCGATCGAAGGGAACAATATTCGGATGTTGGGGGAGGCGCATCCACAGGTTCATCTCATGCCATATCTTGAAGATGAACTGGAAGAGCCCTCTAGAGGGGGGTAATATACGCAGGTCCCTTGGTCATCTTCGGGCTCGGTAGAGACCGAGACTAATTCGCCGTCCTGTGATAGATGGATAGCGTATACGTCAGGTCCCAAGGAATCAATGTGCTTCTTGAGGTGTCTGATAGCAATATCTTCGCTCTCTTGTGCCTCATCCATAGTAACGGCGATGATATGTCGTTGGTCCCAGTCGAGAATGAACCATGTGCTTGGCCCTCCAGGTGTAAGAGCCGCCAGGGGCGAAATACCTCCACTCGTCCTCAATCATTTGTATTTTGCTGTTCGAAGCACTGTGAGGGAGATAAAAGATCTGGGGGAGACGGAAGGGAAAAGGTGCAGCGAGGAAGACGTTTGAGGCGGCAAGGGGGCAGAGAGCAAAAGAAAAAAGTCTCGTCTGGTTTGCTTGCTTGTAGCATGTAAATAGCCCAAAGGGCCAATCAGCTGGTGAAGGTCGCCCTCTTTTTTTTTTTGAATTTGCGGGGGAGGGGCTTTGGGGCCTTACCTACGAGGTACCCCGTAGCCTGTAGGTATAGGTACTTGACACTGATATTAGTATTATATTAGTGTATACTACACTATAGCCGGGTACCTGATCTTATTCATGTCAGGCCGCAACTTTCCAACATGAAGCCTAATCACGCCTTTCTTAGTTAAAACCAGTAGCAACTGTAGTGGACTCGAGTGTAATAACATTCGGAGAAAGGTCAACTTTCTTCGTTCCACGTACACCTATAGCACACACGAAAGGTATGAATATATCAAGAGCTTGGTGCATGCGAATCAATTGTGCTCAACGACGACATGCATCGTGGCTGCATCTACCCAACCATGAGGCGGCGCCACTTGCACGCCAATTCGGTCACTCATGGTGGCGACGGCACGGCGAGAGCCTTCAACTGTTGGGCAAACGAACATTTCTTCCAGAAGGCCTTTATTCCCGCACGGAGTAGCAGCCATCGGCTTGTTGTTTCCGCCGTCGCATCTCCCAGACCTGCCCCCACCATGTTGTCAAAGTTGCCTTGAATCCTGGCATCAACAAGCCAAGCTTGCATATCCCCCACGTTTTAGCGCCGCCTCCCCCGCAAATTGAGTAGTTATCATCAGAGCGATCATCTAGTATTTCGCCCTTGTGTAACATGTTGGGGTTCCCTGTTCGCGACGTAGAAACCCCGAGCTGGCGCTACCTCGGGGCCATTCTGATGCGAAGGGGGTTGTGTATTACCAGGTGGCGGGACGGTAGATTCGTAGGCCGGGGAAAGGCCGATGCCATCTTGTTTGCCGCAGACATCTAAATAAGTGTCGTTGGTTTCTCGTTTGGGTTCTACTGTGCATTGCAAAACCTACTCGCACGTGTAGCATTGCAGGCCGTTATTACCTATCCATAGTGGTTGTTCGACTTGCTAAGGTCCAAGAGCACTTCATCATGAGCGGCAGAGAAGACAAGCTCGGCACGCCAGCACCAGACGACTTCTCGACTGGGGTTACCCACGCGCTTCGTTCACCAGATGGTTCCTCCAAGGGTGCGCCCCGAGGGTTTCAACCTCCCGAGATAATTCGCCTCATGTCACCCGAGGAGCGTGATCAGCTGGAGAAGAAGCTCATCCGGAAGATTGACATTCGCATCCTTCCAATGATAGTCGTCATGTACATTCTGAACTATATTGATAGGTAAGGGTCTCTCTACACTTTTTAACGGATCATGGATTAAATGATACGCTAGGAACAATATCGCATCGGCCAGGTTTGCCGGTTTGGAGGATGATCTGAAGCTTAATCCAAGCGGGACTCAGTTCTCTGTAAGATGCTTGCAAGACGGACAAAGAAGCTGATTGCTAACGACTCGCCACTCAGACCGCTGTCAGTATTCTCTTCGTGGGGTATGATAACTCGACTTGGTCCCGTCATCTGGACCTTTGCTTATGCGTCATAGATATCTATTGATGCAAGTGCCGTCCAACTTGCTTCTCAACAAGACTGGGAAGCCAGGTAAATACCTACCCATCTGCGTAAGTAGACACCACGCTCGAAAATGGCATGAGCCGCTACTGACACGACTGCAGATGGCGATTTGGGGAGTCATCTCGGCTGCTACCGCGGGCTGCCACTCCTTTGGGGGACTACTAACTGCCAGATTCTTCCTCGGATTCGTTGAAGCAGCATATTTTGTACGTCCTGCGCCGCACAATTTGAAATCCAGTGCTGACCTTTTTGCATCAGCCAGGCTGTCTGTACTATCTCAGCTGTTGGTATACACGCAAAGAATTGGTTGTGCGGACGACATATCTCTATGCGGGATCACTCATTTCTGGCGCCTTTTCTGGGCTCATTGCCGCTGGAATCACGGGCAACATGGACGGAACTCGGGGCCTTCGTGCGTGGCGCTGGCTGTTCATCATTGAGGGTGCGATTACTGTCGCAATTGCAATTATTGCCTTCTTCATCTTGCCAGACTTTCCGCGAACGACAAAGTGGCTAAACAAGGAGGAAATGGTGCTTGCTATCTGGAGGCTGGAGGAAGATATCGGCCAGGATGATTGGGTGAATTCGCAAGAACAGACTCTTTGGCACGGTTTCAAGCTCGCGTTGGAAGATGTGAAAACCTGGGTCTTGGTAAGTTTCTGGACACAATACTTTGCCGTCCGTCATACTGATCATTACCCTAGCTTGTGATTCTCTTTGGCAACGTATCTGCAGCGTCCGTTACCAATTTCTTCCCCACCGTGGTCGCGACTCTCAAGTATAAGCCGGTAGTTACGCTGTTGCTGACCGCGCCGCCGTACGTCCTGGGAGTCATCACCACGTTCGCAACAGCATGGCATGCGGATAGAACTGGCGAGCGATTCTACCACGTTAGCATTCCGCTGTGTCTGGCAATGGTGGCGTTTATCATCTCGGCTGCTACAACAAACATTGCCGCCAGATACGTTGCCATCATGCTCATGGTAGGTCCACATCTGCTTTTGTGCGTGGGAAAGGAGAGTCGTCCTGACAAAAGACTTGTTTAGATTCCCGGTCTCTACAGCGGATTTACTACTGCTCTAGCTTGGATCAGCAATACTTTACCACGTCCGCCGGCGAAACGAGCTGCAGCACTTGCCTTTATCAATGCCGTAGCTAACAGCACATCGATCTATGCCAGTTACTTGTACCCCAAGTCGGCCGCCCCGGAATATACTGGAGCCTTTATTCACAACTGCGTCATGGCAGCAGTGGCGATATTTGCAGCATTTGTGCTGAAAAGAATGCTGGTCCGGCTGAACGATAAATTGGACAGAGGAGAAACGGTTGAGGGTGCAGTTAATGCGGCGCCTGGGGAGGCCGTGGAGCATGGATTTCGTTTTTTGGTGTAGATGTCTGTCATGTACTACCTGTATACTGTTTGCCCGACCCATGAAAAAGGATCTCCGGAGCAGAAAGCCGCTTGATATTTAGTAATTTAGCTTATCCGAGACTCCGAGTTAGAAGGCCAGACAAAGTTGGCCTCGATAGTTTGTGCTACTACCAAGTATCATGTAGGGTTTAAGCTGCACATGGGTACCCGCGAGTGCTGAATGCCTGGGGCACGCACCCACGGGTCGCCAAGGCCATCCGTCGCGAACCATGATAAGGGCTCCCTGCAGTTATGTCAACCTCCGTTCATTCAGCTGCAACACCATGTCATCGTGCTCCAAAGGGCACAATGGAATCACGGCCAAGTTGAGTAAACAATGGCTATCCTCTCCGGTAAACATGTTTAACACATTGTCCAATGCACCAAGGACCATAGCTACTCTACCATCACTTTGAGGAGAATGATACCATGAAGTTTTCACCTTGGCGATCCTTGGGGATTTAGTCAACAGAACGAATGCCTCCGTGATACGACTTCATGTGAGCTGTAGAAAAGAAATTGGAATTTACTTATGCATGGTGAAAAAACTGAGACAATAAAGATTCGTAGGCTCTGTATCGCACAAGTCAATGGAGGAGGGTGCGTACGTATCCTTTTTCAGACCGGATAGGACGAACCAGTGCCGGCGTCGCATGTGTTGCATCGACATCGGAACTCTGGGCCATCCAGAACGAACGGAGATTCCACGGACGGAAAAAGACCTGACGAAAATTTTCCCACAGAAGTTTCGGAAGCGCGAATGAATTTTAAAATCAAGGTTCTCGCACTTTGCCAATGTTTCCGTAGACGTAACGAATTGGCAAGCGACAAGAGCAGTCACGTGTGATCGTGTTGCCTAGGTGGCGTCAACTTTGTTGCATCGCGTTTTACTCTGTATCCACACGCGCATTCACATGCTCGTCTAGCAATCTGCGCAACACCATGGCGACGCCAAAATGAAAGTCGAAAATGAAAACCAGATCATCGAGATATTGGATAATGATCCAACGGGGTCTGAAAATGAAATTTCAACCGCTGAGGGATCTTCCAGAGGCTCAAGAAAGCGCAGAGTTGAAGACAATGACCTCTCGGAAAAGGTCCACTGGTCCGACAGCTCAGATGGAGTGCCCGTGAAGCCAGCGAAGCGAAGGGCGAAGCGCAAGTCAAACGCAAAGAATAAGAAAAATCCAAAGCGTAATGATAGACATGCCGCGAAAGATGAGTTTGATCTTGGGGACATTCCGGACTACCTGCAAGAGAGACGTCGAAACTTTGATGCAAATAAGAAACAGTATCACGAGGCGGCTCTCATGCTACCCCCCGACTATACCGACATTGATTTTCATGAATCCGGAAGAATGGGAGAGCTGAAGGAAAGACCCGAGTTTGATGTAAGAAGTGGTATCAAGCCGTCTCGGCCGTACAGGGACATTGAGCTACCCCAGTCCGCTGGGCTCATCCCAGCACCTATCGCTCAATATTTGCGAGACTATCAGGTGGTTGGAGCCAAGTTTCTTCATCGCAAGTTCGTTTTCCAAGAAGGATGTATTCTCGGCGACGACATGGGTCTCGGTAAAACAGTCCAGGTAGCCGCATTCCTGACAGCTGCATTCGGCAAGACTGGCGACGAGCGGGATGATAAACGAATGAGGGAGATTCGGTTTTGCCCTGGTCGCTGGTATCCCAGGATCCTCGTCATTTGTCCTGGGTCGCTTATTATCAATTGGAAGAACGAGTTGAACAGATGGGGATGGTGGCACATTGACATATATCATGGCACAAACAAGGACGACATTATGGGAACAGCACGATCGGGGCTCCTCGAGATCATGATTACGACCTACGACACGTACAAGAACAACCGGAGTTCTATTAATATGGTGCCATGGGATGCTTGCATTGCAGACGAATGCCACCGACTCAAGGATGGGTCGTCCGAAACGACCAAGGCAATGAACGAAGTGAATGCGCTTTGTCGTATTGGGCTTACCGGAACCGCAATTCAAAACAAGTATGAGGAACTGTGGACACTTCTTGACTGGACAAACCCAGGGCATTTCGGGGCCAAGTCGGAATGGATGCAGACCATCAGCAAGCCTCTGACTGTTGGACAGTCCCACGATGCAACTGTAGCCCAACTTAGTTTGGCCCGGCAAACCGCGAAGAAGCTCGTTCAGAATCTCCTACCTCGCTACTTCTTACGGCGCATGAAGACCCTAATTGCAGATCAGTTACCAAAGAAGACAGACAGAGTCGTCTTCTGCCCCCTCACGGACGTACAAGCCGAGGCATACGAGAACTTCCTCAGCTGCCCTGAGATCCATCTTCTACGCAGCATATCAGATCCATGTCCACACGGCAGAAAGAAAGGCTGGTGCTGTCAAACCCGTCTCCCGGATGGCAGACGATGGCCCGCCATCGTGTTTCCAGGCATGATTACGTTGCAAAAATTAGCGAACCACCTCGCGCTGCTCACGCCGTCAACCACGGACATCGAAAGCAAGCATAAAAAGGAGCTGGAGACGCTGAAGCTCTGCCTTCCAAATACATGGAAGCCACTTTACGAACAAAGAGACCAGATCAGAAATCTTGTCAACCCCGAGTTCTGCGGCAAGTGGAAGGTCATGAAGAAGCTGCTGAGGTTCTGGCACCAAAACGGCGATAAGGTGCTTGTGTTCTCTCACAGCGTCCGGTTGCTCCGTATCCTGCAGCACCTATTCACGAGCACGAGCTACAACGTCAGCTACCTAGACGGATCACTCAGCTACGAGGAGCGACAAGACGTCGTAGACACCTTCAACTCAGACCCCACCCAGTTTGTGTTTCTCATCTCAACCAAGGCAGGGGGTGTGGGACTCAACATCACATCTGCCAACAAAGTAGTCATTGTCGATCCTCACTGGAACCCATCATACGACTTGCAAGCTCAAGACCGCGCGTATCGAATCGGCCAAACTCGTGATGTCGAAGTTTTCCGCCTCATTTCGCAGGGCACTGTAGAGGAAATCGTCTACGCACGACAAGTGTACAAGCAACAACAGGCTAATATCGGATACACCGCCTCATCCGAACGCCGGTACTTCAAGGGCGTGCAGCATGACGAGGACAGAAAGGGCGAAATTTTCGGCCTATCCAATATATTCACGTACCACGGGACGTCCAGCCTCGTGAGAAACATTGTGAATAACACCAACATAGCTGAGGCCAAAGCGGGCGTCGATATGGCAGACGTGGACATGGAGCAGGCAGCCAAGGACGAAGAAGCGTTCGGTCCGCTGAAACAGGAAGATGCGGGTGCTGAAGACGGCGGTGTGAGTCAACTAGCTGCATTTCTTACTGCTGAGAACCAACAGCAGGTCCTTGAGTCCAAAATATCGGGCGCGCCCAAGAGCGACGCCATCCAGGCAATCTTGACGTCTGTTGGCGTAGAATACACTCACGACAACTCTGAAGTTATCGGCACGTCAAAGATAGAGGAGCAGCTCTCGCGCCGAGCGGCCATGCGATCATACACGGATGGGGATACGGAGGGACAGAATGCCCTGTTTGCGGATACCCAGGACGAAGACGATCGCGACATGCTACATAACATATATCGACCGCCAGAGGATGTCTGTCTGCGGCAATTCTGCTCAATGGCCCAGGAATTCGGATTTATCAATGCTACGGAATTTGCTCTTGTGGTCGAGAGTTGGTCGCAGGAAGCTAGGAGAAACTGCTTGGACACATTTTATAGGAGGAGAGAGGCGCAGTTGGAGGAGGCGGAGAATTCGAGAACGGAAAGAGCGGTTGAGGCTGCTGCTGAGGCGGCGGTTGAGGATGAGGATGTCCAGTACCATGTGAAAAGTGATCATGTGGCGCAGGTTAAAGATGAAGACACTACGAAGAGCAAGACCAAGGATATAAAAAGGATGGAGAATGATGATATAAGGGGCGATATGAAGGATGAGAACATCAAAACTGAAGGCGTCGCATTGGGACACGTCAAGAGAGAGGACATCAAGAACGAGAATGTCAAGACTATCGCCTTGAAGGAGGACGTTAAGCCTAAGGACGAAGGCGAACCGGGAGTTAAGCACCAGCCAGCCAACGTTCTTGATGTGAAACCAAGAACGTTCAAGGTGGAGGGCGCGTCAAAACGAGATTCAATTTTTATTTCCGATGACGATGATGATGAGCTATAGGCGTTCTGAGAGAATATTTGTTTGCGAAAGATACCCCCCCCCCTTCTTTTTTCATCATTGATTCGCTGGCTGTAATATGCACCTTTTCATGACTTCATGTGTGCCAGGTAGGCTCTGGTTTTCTGTTTATTTGGTCAAGACTCCAATGACATGAGGCAGAACGGCAAAAGGGGGCTCATCTGGTGAAGTTGCCAGATCAAACTTGTTCCAGATGCCGACGTCACGCAGCGTCTGATCGGTAGGTCTACAAATCCGGCATGACCCCATGAAGAACATCCAAACGCAGTTAACAAATTCTACCCAATCGGATTAGTCACTAATCTTCCCCCACGAGGCACAGGATCGAAGCACTCACGCTGATAAAGAGGCATGATAGGAAACCCTCGGGTCGTCTTGACATGCTCAAACACATACCACGTACCGCCCGGCTTCAACAACTTGTACAGGTGCTCAATGTTCTCCTTGGGATCCGGAATACTGCACATGCACCTGATGCCAACGATACAATCGACGCTCCCGGGCTCAATCTTGCCCTCCCACGAGTTTGGGTTTGTGACGTCCTCGATGCCTACAGGCACCACCTCATACACATCCCCCAAGCCGACATCCTTCACTCGCTTACGCAAGGTTGCCGCTGAAATGGGGTTCGGCTCAATGCCATAAATCTTGGTGATGCCGCTTTTGCCTCTTCCACTCTCGCCCTTTCTACTTCTCAGCCCTTCTTTTTCACCATTCTCGGACGAGGCGTTTCTGTGAATGCGAGCCAGGACATCCGCCCACATACCACTACCAGCACCAACCTCGAGAACCGTCCCATGCACAGGCGTGGATACGACGTGGTTATGGACTCTACCGCCAGACACTTTGCCTTCGAGGAGTGGAACAACGACTGGTTCGGCACCAGCCTTTGCCTGTGGACCCAATGTCACCCAGAGGTTTCCAAAGAGTTCTTCGCCAAAGGCCGATGGCGAGAAGAGTTTGCCATAGTTGCCCGAAGATATGAGGTCGGCGATGGTGCTAGGTATGTAGGTGATTGACAAGCCGATCATGAGCCATGGCTCGATGAGGCACATGAAGAGCTGCTGGACATCGGTGAGGATGGACATGGTGATTAGAGCAAAAAGGAGGTTGTAGAGGGGGGAGAAGAACGACTCCAAATTACATGGAACTGAAATCTTGGTAATTTGAGAAAATAAATAGAGGGGAGAGTGGTAGGGGTGTGAGTCAAGGAGAAGGAGCAGCTTGAAGTCATGTGCCTGCGAGCTTGCCCATCAGCTACCAAGTGCCAGCTTTTGCCTTCCCGGCCCTCGCAAGGCTAATACGCCCTGGTTCATTTGATTTACCCTTGCCGACTCCCGCACGCCCTTTACTTCATGCCCCAAATCGCCAAATCGGGACACGGCCCTCCGCTCATGCGTTCTCAGAAGAGGGGGGGAGCGAGGCAGTTTTCAGCCAATGCCACGAGTCGAGAGGCCGGGCCGTGGGGCCGAAAACACCGCCGCCGGGGTCCACCGACAAGCCGAGCTGCTGAGGTGCAACTTCCACCAAGATATATCTTTCCGTAACAAAGATGAGCAAACATGTCACAGGATGATGCAGTGACGTAGAGCCACGTGCCGTGGTTTACTACTATATGGTATATAACAGTCCAAGAAATTATACAAAGATGTACTATGTGGTTTACGGATACCCTCAGCGGTTCTTTGGCCAGTACTTGTTTCGTTTGTAAAGCCATTTGCCCTAGCGTGGGGTGAGCCGAGTAATTGATCATTAGGAGCACGAGGCGGTTTGACCCGTTTCGCAAGCTCGCCTACCAATAGACGATGATGCTACGCTCCAAGACTAAGCAAGCACACCGAAGAAAAGGAAATGCCCATTCTTCACTCACGACGGCTTAGTTCAGCAATACCCGTCAGCCATATAGCCTGAATTGTCTACCAAGTCAACAATCGACACCGTCCATATCTCATGATACCTGTTCCCGTGAAATCTCGAAGCCGCCCCAACGCCTCAAAACGCCTGCCCAGCTGCTCTCTACAGCAGCTCAAAATCATCCAACTGGTCCCTGTACTTCATAATGTTCCTCTTAATCTTGCTGCCCACAGACCACGTCACAAAGTCCTCGGTCGACCTCGTCACCAAATACGCCGGGTCCGTCACCGTCTCGACACCCACGCGCACGTGCCCCTGCTCAATCATCTTGGTCGCGGCCTGCACCGTCTCCGCCATGCGCAACCGCGTCATCACGACGGGCAGCCGCCTCCTCGCAAAGGCGCTGACGGTGACGCCGTTCTCGACGGCCGAAAGCTTCGACGTGCTGGGCAGAATGCCCATGTCGTAGAGCTTGTTGAGGAGGAGCTCCTCGTGCTTGCGGCGAGTCGCGCTCTCAGGGGGCAGTAGCGAAAGACGGTGGGCTAGCTGCCTGAGGGACTGATAAGGTGAGTCATGTCAGCAATGGGCTATTCGGGCATGCAAGCGTTGGCGTTGCATGCTGCTCAGCTGGGAAGGAGGAAGGGGGGGAGCGTACGCCACAGAGTCTGTTGTATTTGTGGTAATCTTCGGGTTTTTGGATCATGTATCGACGGACGACGGCCTTGTCGCGGTGGTCCTTGTCGGATTTGTAGGTGATGAAGTCGGTTTTGCGGAGGAGCTTTTGCTCGTGATACTTGAGCTTGCGCACCATCTTGGCCGGCTGGGGGTCTGCAAGTCGAGTCGGTTGCTCGTGTGTACAGCTTGCGGGCCGTCTTTTGAATCCCCAAATCGTGCCGCGACGGCAATTTTACGAGCCCTGCGCAGAAAAAAAAAAAGCAGATCCCTCGCTAATGTAAGGTTGTCGCGACGAGTTGCAGACTCCAAAATCCCGGATTGCTTGCGCGGAGAAAATCCAAGAAAATAAAGTGGAGCATTTCTCGACTCCCACCAACCAGGAGTTAGCTGCGCACCTTTCAACTTCATCGCTCTCTTCCCCCAGTCCAACCTCGCAAAACCAGCAACATCGCCAACCATGCCGCCACGACTCCCCGTGTGCGCTCTGCGCGCTCAATGCTCCCCTTGGAGCGCTTTCCGCGCATTCTCTTCCTCGCCGGCAGTCGCCTCTCCCCCCCGGGAGCCGCCTCACCCTGCGCCTCACCACCAAACGACCCGGCCGCCAACGCCCTCGTCTAGCAGCAGTCTCCTCTCCATCAGCGCCGACCGCCACAAGCGCGCCCCCAGTGCCCGCGCCATGCTTCCCGGCGAGGCGGCTGCCAAGATGATGAACCGCTACACCGACAAGCAAAGCCGGAGCAGGCTCGAGTCCGTCCAGGCGCTGAGGAATTCCAAGAATTCGGCGGATTACCTGAAGCAGATGCCGAGGAGGTGGGATGCGGGCGACGTGTATTCGCCGCATGACTTGAGTCCCGTGGAGATGCAGAAGTGGAGGAAGAGGTCGTTGAGGAGCAATGATGTTGTCGATGCACTGGACATTAGGCCGTTGGACATGTACAAGGTAAGGGCCTCGGCCCTCCGTGAGGAAGTGTATACATAGTTTGGGCGTAGGTTTGCTAACTTTTTGGTGCAGAACTTTTCTCTCGTGCAGGAATTCACCACCTCGTCGGGTCAAATCATTCACTCTGCCGGCACGAGCTTGCGGCCAGTCAATCAGCGCAAGATTGCCAAGATGGTTCGTCGTGTTCAGGGCATGGGCATTTATCCCACGATTCATGATCATCCTGAGATGATTCGGGACGACTTCTTCCCTGAGAGGAGATGAAGTGCAGACGAAAACAGATGCAGCTTCGGAAGTAAGAGGAAGGGGGTTCAAACAAGTTGGTATCTGCCGAGAAGTGGGCAACCTCGTTGGCCGCCGTGTCTCTATTCTTCATATCCCACTATATGTACAACAGCCTAAAGCTCCGTTTCATGTATAGTTACAAATATCCAAGACATATGCCTTTTGTTTTATTCACAATCATGTCTTCATGATCCGCTTGATTTTGATTTGACAGAGGCCATACTCGTTAAGCCGTCTGCCAACTTTGTCCAGCTCTGCCCATGTGGCTCGGTACTTTTTCTTTACCCAGTCGCGGTAGTTTGCTTGTAGTTCTTGTCCGGGGAGTGCGTTGTGCGCAATGGCTAGTCTGTTTCTATAATTAGTATCCGTGGTGTCATTATCCTCATGTGCATGGCAGTTCGTTAGACTCACGTCATTGAATCTGGCTCCGACCCGACATAGGATGCCATATTCATAATTAGCCCTCGCACTTCTTTCTCATTGCCACTTCCGGCCACAGCGCCCACGTATGCATTGTACACGGCGGGAGGTACTTCCAGATCCATCCGCTCGATTCTCTCCCAGATTTCACGGGCCTGCTTATCTCCACCGGATTTCTTTTCTAAAGCCCAAAACACTGCCTGTAAACTTGCATATGACGGACCCTCACGAGACTGGATAATCTCATTCCAAAAGTCCAATGATGTTGTCGGCTTGTCACAGGCTGCGTAAGCCAGCATCAGCCCGGTGTACAGCTTTGTGTTTGGTTGGATAGTAGTATCCATCTTGAGCATGTTGTGTATCATGACTAATCCCTCGGGATCGGGATTCTGTGCGACTCCCTCCAGATAGAGTATATAAGTATCCATAGTGGGGTGATAGGTCTTGTTTCGGTGTTGGCGCATGTGCCCAAACACATGGGAGGCCATATCCGGCCGTTTGCGGTCAAAGAACGATGATATCAGCTTCATCCTCAGCTCATAGCTCGTATCTTGGAAAAATTGTTGAAGAAGTTGGTATGCACCCCATGCCCGAGATGTACTAGTCGCTTTGTCGAGACAAAATGCCACAAAGGAGCGTTGCACGACCTCTCGTTGCTGCTCGCTATATAGGAAAGAATGGAGAGACAGCAAATCCATTACGTCAAAGTGCTGGTCATTCTCCAGAAACTTGACACAAAGAGCTGCTACGGTTTCCGGGTCTAGCAGCATCTGTTCCTCCTCGAGAGCGTCTAGAAGCGCAAGAATAGTCTTGAAGTCGGGAGGTGTTTGCCGTGATAGCAGAGTCAAATATTTATTTGAGGATCGACGAAAATCATCAAAGAGATCAGATCCATTTTCGTTATTCCATGGTTCGAAATGTTTGACTTGTTCAAAAGCGCGTTGTGCGCCCTTGAGGTCGACAGCCTCTAGCCTTAGCCGCAACAGACGAAGATATGTCTCTCCATTCGGCGCAAGACCCCTCTTGGCACAAAGTGCAAGTATGCCTTCACCCAATTCCGAATCTTGAGTCTCGATTGCAACAGTCAAGAGACCATTGATGGTGCTGATTGTGGGAGCAATCGCCCCGTTGCGGTCGACCATATGTCCCATCATGGCTTCTACTTCCGCCAAGCTCCTCCCAAGTAGCAAGATGGACTGCAGTATAGCATCCCAGTGTTTTCGTTTCGGTTGCGACTGCCCTAGTTCAAGAATAAGAGGCCCTGCCCAATCCTGGAGGTCGTTTCTTCTCGCGAACGATGCTATGTCTCTATAAACCTGAGCCTGAGAGTACTTTTGATTTATTGACTGGCTAAACCAATACTGGGTTTCGGTAACCTTGTCGTTGTTGGCAAAATATCGAACCATGACCGCTTGGATGGTAGCATCATAAGGGACACCATGTGCCATGGCATAGTTGACTAGCTCGACAAGCTCTGCTTCTTTGCCCTCTCTCGCGAGTCCACGAGCCACGGATGCCAGCAGTCGATCCTCCTTGACCAAGTAGGCATGGTAGGAAGGATCCGCCCACTTTGATTTCAACATTAGCAGTGCTTCCTCCGAGCCACCGTACTCGCATAGCATCTTGATGAAATAGCTCCATTGCAGCTGGGGAGGTCGAGCCTTGCCAGTGTAATTTCCCGAGGACCAGACTGCGTACAATGATTTCGCGAATTCCAAATGATTTTCACCTCTTTCTTGCGGTTCGATATCGAGAAGGACTTGTCGTATCATGGACAAATCAGCCGAGGACAGCGACTTCGAGTGTTGGTCATCTCCGTCGTTAGTCGTAAGGTATTCAAGCAATCGGCGACATTGCAAGGCCTGTGTGCTATTCAGCGGTATCTTCCTCTTCAACTTGGATTGCATAAGCTTCCTCAACGCATCTATCAATTCTTTCCTTGGCGGCGGTCGCAGATTATCGAGCATGCGACTTCTCCAAACCATGACTTGCATCCATCCTGGCTCATATTCGGGTTGTCGAATTTCTCGCGGAGGTTTCTGGAACAGCGCATTGAGAAACGTCCTTGCAAAAGTCCTCTGTACCACAGGTCGCGAAATCGATCGTCGTCGGGCCGGAGGAACGTAGGGAAGACAGGCTGGAGCGGACGTCGCCCGGTAAACTAGCAACCGGCGACCATGACGGGCCAAATTCACCCTCATGGTTGATTAATTCTAGGAGTTGATGGCACTTAAAAGTGTAAGTGTATCGATCATTGAGCCAACAAAGGGTCGCATTCCACTTACAAGAACATTTTCAAGGTGAAAACCCTGGTCTGCAGGTTGAAGTCGTCGGCACCTTGAGCAGGTTAAAGCTATCTTCAGATTGCTGGACAATTATTGCGGGTCCCATAACTACACAATTGAGTCTCCGTGGTTTAACCGAATAACCTACCCTATGCTCATATCTGCTTCCTCAATTGCAACGAACATTGATTTGTCTTTTCCTCCTTGATAATCTTAATGCCATCTGTGTCTTGGAGTGTCAATCACCTCTGCCATCAAGTGAACTTCGCTCATCGCTCGTCTTCCAGACGCAACAAGTATTTTGCAATTAAGAAAGAAATACCGCTTTATTCGTTTAGACATGGCCACCCAAGAGAATAAGCGAACCTCCATTCTGTTTACACAGTTTATGGGAAGTCACCATCTGCTCTGCTGATGGGGGAGGTTCAACCCACCGAGTTTGAATCTGAACGAGACACACCATGCAAACTCTGCTACAGACGGCCCATCCAATCTATTCAGACAAGACTTCAGGTCTAGAGATCCAAAATGCGAGGTGAACTAGGCACAGAGAAAGTTTAGCTACAAGATAATAATCCCTTTTCGCGGGCGGGTGATGCAAGCCCGCCGCATGTAAAACCTAGATTAAGCTTCCACTGTCAAGCTTAAAACGCCACGCCCAAGTTTAAAAAAATTCCCAGGCCAAGTATAGAATATTACTGGGCCTCCTTTCTTTTCTTTTTTTTTTTTCTTTGAAAAAAATCTAAAAAAAAAAAAAATCCATCCTACAATTCATTTCAACTACCGCTCAGCAACCATTACGTCAGGCAGAATTGTGGCCGATGAAGCAACGAGATCAGTCATATTGAGAGAAAAATCGCAAGAGAACTACAGACCTCGAAAATCACATCAGATCCCACAGGAGCCACGCCATCGCTCACCTGGCAGAAAGGGACTACACGAAAAGAAAAAAAAAACCCAAGAGCAACAAGTCTCGCTAGCTGACATGAGGTTATCGCTGGAAGATTCACCTTGCCCTTCTTCTCCTCCTCCACCTCCTCCCCCTTGCACCGATTCTAATAACATTAGCGGAAAATACCCACGCCCATCAAGACTCCGAGTTTAATGGCGGATGTGCCGATGTCAAAATGCAAAAAGATATCAACTTTCCCCCACCGACAGCTATTTCCTCATACAACTACGATGAAAAGGCTCACAATAATGCACCCTGGGTAGCATATATGAACATTCGCTTTAAAGACGTGTCCGCAACCATGAAGCAAGGCCTATATTGGTCGCAGGATAATATAGATCCTACTGGCTCTTGTTTCTACGACGATATAAGAGTAGTTCACCATCGTCTTCAAGCATGGGGCTTCACTCACATGCGCAGATTTCATCTTATTGACTTGGCCAAGGATCCCTAATGGAAGGGGAGACTCTTTATTTACGCCCGCGGAGTCAAAAATCTTTCTGAATTCCGGATCCAACATATCTTAGTTAATAATATTGTCTTGATGACTGCCTTAACTGGGGACGATAAGAAGGCTTATGTATACGATCGAAGTGATCCTGGGCAGAATTTAATGCCATTTACGATGATAAGCCGCTACGTGGTTGGTGGCCGTGGCCTAAGAATGCGCATATCTAGGCCGACGCTCTGGTTGTCACACGGTTACACGAGGGCTACGATCTTGGGACCTAGGGCATAATTCAAAAGGCTCGAATTGATCAACAGCAGCAGCTTTGCTCACCTTGGCATCGGACCTAGTCATGGGAGTAATAGAACCACGAAAGAATTTTACGATTTCGCAAGAAATATTTTTAACCAGACTCCTCTAGTTGCCTTGGAACAGTTAGTGACTTGGTGAGTCTCATTAAAAAAGCCCACTTCATGTAATCTTCATACATATTCCGTATTCAGACAACATCTTCCATACTACTACAAATCCCCCAATCACAGGTATCGCGTACACCGCAGCTACAAACAAAATCATCCCGAGTAAAATATTAGTCGCGATATCATCGCTTACTTTTCTCTCCCTGTCTTGTGTTCGGTGTTCTTCTTGTAGCCTACTATTCGATCTCCAAAGAACTGGCCTGGATTCCACAAAGAGTGTTGACATAGAGCCAAGTGCGGGGCCTGCGAAAGACCCCAAACAAATCCAAAGCATAGTCCAGACTCGTTGATGAGGACAAGGGATACAGCGTAGTCCAAGAGATATTTCCCGGGGTAAGTCTATCACAGCTTCAAGAAACGGCCAGCTCAGCCTCAATCTTGAGCCCGAGGATGCAATGTCGTCGAAGGCGGAACGGCGAGGCATGCCTGGGTAGTTGCCTCTTTATGTTCCGCATGTCTCATTACAGGCCTCAAGCAAGCTGCACAGCTCCGCCATGAAGCACCAAATCCGCTTCTCACCTCCGTTGTTGATTGGCAGCCTTGTTTGCTGCAGTAGTAAGAGCTATCAGAGCTGAAAATAGACGAATGCCGGTCAAGCACAACCCCTGTGAGCCGCCGGGCTCCCTTTCGGGCCAACAAACAGTTTCATTTCTTCGGCTGAAAGCGTCGCAGTCGTCCTGGTGGAAGAGTGAGAAAATACTAGGTCCGATGCCAACGTGAGGACTTGCCACAGGTGTAAGCAAAGCTGCACAATGCGGCCGAATTCAAGCCCTTTGGAGCTATTGAATTCGAGCCTCACGAGCAGTCGAATTCGGGCCCGTCAGGCTGCTGCTGCTGTTGGATTCGGACCCCTTGGGTTGCTGCTGCTGAATTTGAAGCTTTTTAGCTGGGGTGATGGGAATCGCTCGGTGCGCTCGCGCCCCACAAGGATACCTGTACAGATAATAATACCAAGTCTAGCACTAGATTCATAGTAAAGATGTAAGCACTATAAGAAAGGATACAGCTTTATTCTTTTAACAGAAGTAAGGATAAAGCTTGAGAGAATATACGCACTATACGCAGCAAGAAGTATGCAGGAAGAGGGGTTGATTGAAGATGCTAGAAGTTGCCTAGATACCAAGGTAGGTATGTACGCACAGGTGCGCTTACTGTCTATGATGGAATAATAGAATCACGAAAGAATATCGAGATTTCACAAGAAATATTTTTAACAGGCTCATTAGCCTTGCAACAGTTGATGACTTGGGGAGTCTTCTTTCATTGCTGGGAATGAAGCCATATTCTGCAACAAGGGTGAGTAGATCAGAGGGGAAAGCAATGCAACTATTTGTCTTTCTTGCTCCTATTTTCCATTTCAAGGAAAAAAGGCCTAAACCTTAACTTTTCGAGATTTCTGCGCAAATAAAGTGGAAAAACTGGAATCTCGTTCTTTTCTTCCTTTTCTTCCTTCCCTTCGGTCCCTGTCACGTGATCACCTTTCCAAGTTGAGTCCCGAACCTGTTGCACGAAAGCTCCGGTCTCATCCCTCACAACGACCTGCGCCGACAGCACCACTAACCAAATACAAACCATGTCGTCGACATTAATCGCAGGATCATCAACCCAGGTGGCCGACACAAAAACTTCCGACGTTATTTCTCCCGTCGCCGTGATCGATACGCCTCTATCCAAAAGCACCGCCCTTCTTCGCCCAAGTCTCATACTGGGACTCCTCGCCCTACGTTTCAGTTCTCTCGTCGCGGACCCCGTGCCGACTCTCCAGCTTGCACTCCCTGCTGTCGTGTTGATTCAGATTTTATATGCGATTATTTGTCTCCCTGTCGCCGGCTCCCAATCCGCCAAGGTGGCGAGAAAGCCTCGCCCAGGAGAGAAGAAGCGGGTTGACACAAATGGACCCAACACCATCTCGGTATGGTTTTTTTTCTCTCTCAAAGCATGGGCATGGTTGCAAAGTATGCTCTTGTCGCTAATTCAAAATGCGTTGCCATCAACTAGACTGCTATTCTCGCTTTACTCCTAAGCGCAATCTCCACACCGGCTGTATACGTTCTCTTCGTCTTATTTGGCGCTCCTTTTCTCGATCATGTCGAACACACGCTTCTCTGCTCTGCACACTTCTCGTTGCTCGCTCTCTTCCCTATATTCTACTCAAGAGGTGTAAAGGGCGAAACCCTTCTCGCAGTGGCCGGTGCCTCAGCTCCTCTGGACGAAACATTTGGTGGATTGGTTGGTGCTGGAGTTGGAGCATGGCTTGGAGCAGTTCCCATTCCGCTGGACTGGGATAGGGAATGGCAGAAATGGCCAGTCACGATTGTTGTTGGCATGTTTGCAGGCTCATTGCTGTGCAGCTTGGTGTCGGGGACGTTGCTCTTCGGCAAACGGTTGAGCAGCACTGAAGAAAAGAAGGAGTAATTAAGAGTAGGCTCCTTTGCAAGTTGAACTGATATGATAATGTTTCTCGGTGGCCACAGAAGCATACACATGTTTCCCAAGTCGAAAGCCTGCAAGCAAACCTCCGCTTCCCTATTCAATAGCTTGTCTTTCGTCTGGATCTCTGCATGTAGTGCAATCATACGGCGACAGATGGGTAGGACTGCCGCAAAAAATTCACACGCGGCGTATGTTGCAGTCGCAAGACACAAGGAATGAGGATGGGTACACAGCACAAATTAACGAACTATGATTAATGGGTATCAAATAGCTGCCCTGGAGTATTACCTCCAAAGGTAGCGTCAAGTTCTTGGCCATGCATCCTCCTACCGTGCAAACACCGCCCCTTCCAGGCCACAAAGGAAAAAAAACAGAAGCAAGGGGATAATGAAACCGTACAAGTCATTAGCTACCCGTAGAGACTCGCCCGAAACAGCCAGCTGAACATGAGATTGGAAGAGAAAAAGGATTGCAACGGGTTGGTTCAAAGCCTTGAGATCTTAGGTTCGCATCATGCAAACACGGAGAGGCGGGGCTGGCAAGGCCCAGCATCTTCGGGGGGCATGGACGTAATTCGCCAGCGCCGCCGCTGATTAGCGCGTGACAATCACCCAGATGGCGTGAATAAGACCAGGGAAGTAACCTGGGAGAAACAAAAGGGTCAATTTGTTAGCAAAAGTCATCGGTAGGGGAGGCAGCAACTGCTCCGGACGGCGGTCTGCACCAAGGCGATGCTGCCATGTTGCCCAGAGGCTTAGCACGTACCCAAAATCGTGAGCACGAGGTTAATCCAAAAATGGGTCGTGCAGCCAACCTCGAGGAACACACCCAGAGGAGGCAGGATAACGGCCAAGATGAACTTGCAAATGTCGCTGGCGTGAAAGGTCAGTCTCACATCTCATCATGTCCCGATTTCTCTCGCTGGTGTCTGCTTGCTGTGCCAATCATGACCCCGTGAGTGGCGGGAACAAGGTCTCTTGGGGAAACCCAGCTCTGAGCCGCACTCGGCGAGGTCCATCCATTCACCAGCAGCAGAAACATTGTCGTTGAGAAGCATCTTGCTCTGAAGCACATCAATACAAAGCGTACCTAGCGGTGACAGGCATATTGTCGGTTTGAAGCTAACAGCTTGGGAAGCTCTGGCTGATTCGAGTGTGGTAGGGGTCTGCTGTTTTGTTTGGAGCGGAGAGGTGACGTTGACGAAGGATGTTTTGAAGAAAGCCGGACGGCAGGAAGAAAGTGAGCTGGGCTGAAAGGGGCCGGGTGAGCAGCTTACTTATTCTGTTTTTCCAACGGCAGAAGCAATCTTTCCCATGCCAAGTATTTTTTACCTTTTGCCAATGGCTCCTTAGTATTACCACGCCGAGAGCAAACCCAGGTTCGGGTCGCGCGGCGGGACCGCCGATGCCGTAGCGATACTAAGACATCCCATCCCCCCGACTTGTTTGTTATTGCTCCCTGGCCATCCGGTACCCAGTTATAACAGCTACTAAAGCACCCAAGTCGACAAGGTCTCCATGTACTCTGGGGCCCTGCCCAATCGACGATGTCGTACTGCATCGCCACCAACCAGCCCGGCTGCCCTTCCCACAAGCCCTCTCCTGCGTCATCGACTCGGTCCAGAAAGGAAATGAAGCTAGGATAAGCAAGGCAAGTTTGCGAGCGTCCCTTCGGAACACAAATTTCCATGCTGTGGTCGAGCGACGAGAAAGCTCCTCACCGCTCTAGTCTAGCGGCGCTGCTGTCTCGTTCTCAGCAACAACTTCAACGTTCGCCCAATCGACCCCGCCTCGAGCCACAGCCTTCCCAGATGCGGCACGAACCTCCAGAGCCCCGAGCAATCAAAAAAAACAGACAAGTGACCAGAGTCTAAATGCTTTGGCACGGTGTGGCTGTAGCTGGACGAAGTGTCTGTCCTAGGCCCAATCTGCAATACGTCATGGCACGGTCCCTCTTTGAAGTTTAACAAGCAACCGCAGGGATCAATTGCCGGCACCGCCACAGACGGGGCAAGTGCAGCAGTTGTCGCTACGATTAGCGCTGCAGAGCCACAGATGAGCCCGGTGCCAAGCAGACAAGCCACAAATGGGGACAGGGGCAGGAAGCTCTACCCTGGCAGCGGGTGGTTCTCATCATCATGATGACATATGCTGTGCGCGTGTTTGCCATGGTGTCACGGCACATGAGGATGCAATCCAGCTGCGACTGGCATGTCAATTGACAGCCCATCCCATGATGAGACCCGAAAAAAAAAAAAAGAAAACAAGATGCGTCCCCGGCTTAGAAGGGTCGAGAAACCCCCAGCCATCCGTACACCAACACCCAACGTGCTCCGAGGGCTCCGTAAGCGCTCGCCGGGCACCCAGCCGTTCCAGGTTGCATCAAAACGGTCTGCACGCCTGCCAGTTGTAGCGTGGTATTTCTTGCCCACCACTATGCTTATGCGCTCCTCCCCGGTGGCTGAGCGAGACATCACCACACACACCGGCTGGGCCCTCGGCCATGCGCCGAGCTTCCCAACGATACTAGCTGTTTATGTGCCCAGACATTTCTGGTTGCGGTCCACTTGGAGCCCAGCAGCTGAGGGCCAAGACTGCCAAAGACCAGGTTGAGCCGGAGTCATCGGCGATGATGCAATGCAAAGTCCTGCCTGCCTGGGTTTGCCACCCAAGAAAAATAAGTTTAAAAAATAAAAATAAAAATAAAAATAAAATAAAATAAAAACCAATCCTTTTTTTTAACAGCGCCTCATGTTATCCGCTGCCCTGAATCAGGCACAACTTGTTCGAGATTGGGCCATGTCGTGTTTTGTGCCTGTAGCATTGAACCTTGACCCCCGACTGCCAATGAATGGACAGGTTCACAATCTTTCCGTCATTCATCACCCAACAACACAAGACACAACCCTTCACTTGCGCGTTATATATGCGGCTGTTAACATGTACATGAAACTGCCATGTGGGCATGTTTCCTTTACAGACTAGGCGCGGAAGGATGCAAGAACATCAAGTGTCTTTGAAAACTTTGTCTATTCCAGGATACCTCACACAAGCAAGTTCAAGTTCATTCCTATTACCAAAACCGCCAACTGACCAAAACGCCCAACTCCAAAACCCCCCCGCGCCCCTTTTCAAAGCACCAAGTTAAAATGACCCCAACTTGGTCACGATCAAAGTAACTCCCCCTCCCCGTCCTCTACAAGATCGTCATCTTCTTCCCAGTCCACATTCGCCGCCATCTCCTCTGCGCGCCTCTGGACCTCCGCCAACCCGGACAGCTCAGCAACGTAGTCCTTCTCCTGCAATGCCCTCTTGACGAAACCCCATCCCTCTGTGCGATATGCATCCAACACCTTGGGGCTACAGGCGCTGCAGCAGTCGTACGATTGACCCCGAATGTTAATGTTTTGGAACGTAGATACGTAGCCGCGAATTTGGTGGGGGACCAGACCTAGAGGATGGCTGGGAGGGTCGCGGTCGGGAATACTTCCTGGTGTATGTTGGGGTGCTGGCGCTTGGTTTCGGAGCGGGTGTTGGAGGAGACTAGTGAGCAGCTCAACCAGGAGGGCAGATGCGATGGCTGCGACGCCGGGCCGGGTTACCGTACATTGCTGGTCGAGGGTCTGGTCCTTCATTGACTGTCATGTCGTAAGTATCTGATAATCTTGCCCAGTGAAAGTGAGGAGCAAGGGAGGGAGGGGCGGGTGGTCTGGTGATAAATAGCCTTAATAGACTTACATCGGCTGGGGCCACGACATCGTTGCAAAAGTAACAGCCGAGAGATGTCTGTCCCTTCTCCCTCGTCTCGGCTCCATGGCGCATGACGACATAAGAGTCGAATCCAAGAGCGGCATTCATGACAATCTTTTCTCGGGCCTTTCCTATCACCGTCGGTAGCCAACGCGACTCACGGGTATCCATCAACAGAAAAATGACGTCGTGGTCCTCAATCAAGCCCTCGAGCCTTTCCAAGTCGGTCCTCGTCTTCTCCTCGTCTGTGAATGCATGGCCAAGCATTGGCACAGAGAGAGCATGTCCTTCGCTTTCAACACCGGGGTAGATGCGTTTTAGCATGGCCGCTGCGGCCGCTGCCTTTGGCTGCCCGCCGTTTGTGCAGTCGCTGAACTCGAATAGTGGTTGTCGTACGGGATTTGAGTACGAGACCCTGCCGTAGTCGACGAATGTCACCTTCCTCACACCCCAGCCTAGCAAGTTTCTTGAGACGTAGCCTCCCAGTGTTCCGGCTCCCAGCAGGAGACACTTTGTGTTCTTGATAAGGTCCAAGTCAAGGTCGGGTGCGAGACGCCACTTCATCAGCTTCAGGTTCAAGTCGACGGATGAATCGGCCAGTCTCGTCGGGTCCATGTAATCTGCGAGGTTGGCTTGCTGGGCTTGAAGTTTTCCGTTTCGCGACCTCTCCCACCCTGTGACCTTGGGCATTTCTCCCATCTCCGTCGTTTCCACGGGGTCCATTTCGATGGGGAGCACGACACTCCTGGCTTCGTGTCTTCGGGCCCAGGTGTCTCTGTAGCACAGAATCTTGGCCCTGGACGCCCGGAAGCGCTGTCGGATGAGAACCAGGAGATTTCTGAGTGGCCAGCCAGGTCCTTCAGCGTAGGTGGATGGGTCGGCGAAAGCGACGTAGCGATCCTCTTCGGGGATGTCGTTGAAGAAGCCCTCCTCGAAGCTGCCCAATGTGCTGACTTCCCATCTAAAGCCTATGCTGTTCGAGCCTTCGATATCTTCGGTTTGCATCTCCTGGCCACGAACCTTTTTCGCGAGAAAAAACCCATGTTGACGACTGTCAACGCTATATCGCCACGTCCCAACCCTGTCGACCAGTTCTGTGCTTTCATCGGTGGTGAAGCGTTCAACGGGTCCGGTCCGCTTCCATTGGGGGTCTGAGTGTAAGGCTGGAAATGCGAACCAATACGTAAACTTATATTTCTTGAGATCCGCGTATGAGAGGATGACAAAAGATGAGAGAAGCGATGGCACAGAGTAGATGGTACCGTCATTAATTGCGTCCCAGATCTATTTTGGTCAGTGATGCGGTCGACAGGTAAACAGTAGCGCCCGTATCAACGTGCCTGTCTCCCAGCTTTTTTAATCATCTCGGTTTTGTCCGTCGTCTTGAACTGCTCCAGGGTATTGACATTCTTGATAATGCCTTCTCCTCTGGCTGTGCCTAGAGGTGCGCTGTCTCAAACTGGTCAGCTTTCTGGGAGCCATTCGGGTCTACAAATATGAGGACTCACTTTTGGTTGGTCAGGGCATTACCAAGAATCTGCATCTTGCAACTAGCCTGTGGTTCCTCAACTCTCGACTCATACAAACCGAGCACGTTTCTCGCAGAGTCATCCAGCTTGTCATAGTCGAGCTTGGAGGCAAAAAGAGCCGAATAAAAGGGTAGCTCAATCTCCGACGTAAACGTCGCAAACTGGAGAGGCGTGGCCATGATGAGTCGCGGCCAACGCCGTGTATGCGATTTCTCACGAGAGTCACTGTCAATGTAGCTGATGAGACGTCCGTGGCAGACAAATTCGCGCTGCGGGGCAGATAAGACGTGCGTGTCAAGCAGGAAATATAAGCTTTATTTCCTGGTGGTCGAGAGCAAGGTATTTTTCGTGCAAGGAGTGGAAACCCAGAGATGGAGATGGAAAATCGGCGCCGTGATGTTGATAGTCGAGGTTGTCATATGACAAAAGAGAGTCATCACGAGCTGCATGTCAGGCTGATGATTGCGGAAACTGCTGCACCACACTGCGACTAGAGGCGTCGCGCCGTGCCCCGCCGCGGGGTTAGAGCTAGGTAGGGGGAGTGGCCGGAAAGTTGAACTACTACCACATGCTGGACTGCGAGTGCAGAAATGCCTAGTGAAGCGGGAAACTTGCAGACATCCCACCACAGTGTAAACTAAAACAATTGTGAACAAGCAACAGGGTCATGATGCCGGGCCTTGATTGACTGGGCTAGGATGGAGGGTCTTGCACCTGGCCACCGTTGAGTAAGAAACTCTAGATTAATGAATAAGACTTTCCTAATCAACGTACAAGAATATCCGGTATGGTGTAGTGGCTAACATCGCTCGCTCTCACCGAGCAGCCCAGGGTTCGATTCCCTGTACCGGAGAAATAAACGTCCTCGACGAGGCTGAACTTTTTGCCGTGCAATTCGCTATTTGGTCCGTTCGTGAAATAAATATCATCGTTTGTCCTTAGAGTTGATGGCGGTGCCTTTTTGTTTTAAATGCTAGCCTGGGTAGATAATCTCTATTATTGATTACACTGTCAGGCACATCTCATGATTGATACATTTGCTATAACAATTTTCCACGCGGCTCTTAATTTAAATGCTCACGGAGAGAACTGATTATCACTACTTCCGTGGTCGTGCATAGCATATTTAACAGAATACAACTGCACTAGTTGTGAACCTGCAGTTAAGGAAAGTCTAGAGACATCGGGTGCGGGAGTGGGCTTTGTATCAATCTGACCAAAGTGGCAATCTGCTCTAAATATCGCGCTATCTAATAAAGCGCGTGTAGGTTTTGGCCGTCCATTTCACGATTTTCCCTGGTGGCACTCAAAAAAGAATCCTTATTTTGGTGACCAATATAGTGTTGCCTGTTGCCGTTTATAGATCTCGGTAAAGTGAGCCGTTGAAAGGACCCTTGGCCAATGTGGGCGACCACGCGAACCCCACCGACACGACACGACTTCTTTGATCGCGCGAGATCCTTTCATTGTTGAACTGTTAAGCGCTGGACTCGGCGTCATTGATCGAACAGCTCTGCGAAACCGATTTGCGCTGCGGTGACGGGGTCAAGATGCTTATCGGCATCTGCGGAGGTGAGAATTGTTTGCTCAGAAGGGGCGTGTGTCCCCGTTCGTGCTAACGCAAAAACGTAGGCATTTGCTCGGGCAAAAAGACCGTCGCCCAATATCTCGTTGAGCACCACGGCTTCAACCACCTCTACCTGGAGCCACCCAAGGAGAAGCGCGCTTCGTCCAACGAGGATGAGCAAACCCCGTCGTCTGAATCTGCGAGCTCTCAGTCGTCCTCATCTGCCGCGGCATTCAGCGGTGCCTTGAACTTCAGTGCCCTCACCACCAAAAACGGCCGCCACTCTGCATCTGATACATCACTGGCGCTGAGGCCACAGACACAACAGCATACATTTGCCTCACCTGAAGCGCTCCTCGACTTTGTCACTCTCCGCTGGCGAGGCCGCTTCGTGACAACTGACATACCCACCGAGGCCGTGCTCGACGTCTTCGTGCGCCGCCCTTTCTTCCTCCTCTTGTCCATTGACGCACCCCTCACCGTCCGGTGGCGGCGGTTCCAGCAGCGAGCCAAGGTGCCCGGAGAATCAGACATGCCCCTCGAAGACTTTGTCTCCCGCAGCGATGCTCACTTATACGACCCCCACGGCGGCTTCCAGCCCCTCATCTCCCGCGCCACGGTCAGGCTGCTCAACACGTCGTCCTCGCTCGCCCACCTGTATGCCACGCTGGGCAAGCTCGACATCCCTAACCCTGATCGCCTCCGCCCCGGCTGGGACACGTACTTTATGGCCCTGGCGTCCCTGGCCGCCCAACGCTCCAACTGCATGAAGCGTCGTGTCGGGTGCGTCCTCGTCGGAAGGGAGCGCCGTGTTATCAGCACCGGCTACAATGGCACGCCGCGGGGGATCCGCAACTGCGCTGACGGAGGGTGCCCCCGCTGCAACGAGGGGAACAGTTCGGGCGTCGGCCTCGCCACCTGTTTGTGCATACACGCCGAGGAGAACGCCCTCCTCGAAGCGGGTAGGGAGCGAATCAGGGATGGCTCCGTGCTCTACTGCGATACGTGTCCGTGCTTGACTTGCAGCATCAAGATCTGTCAAGTGGGCATCAGCGAGGTTGTGTACGCCCATGGGTACAGCATGGACAAGGAGGCGGCAGCTGTGTTTAGCCAAGCTGGCGTTAAGCTGCGGCAGTTTATCCCGGTACGTTTTATGCGAGGCCCCGTGTGCGTTTATTATTAATCCTGGCTGTGTCTGTTATACCCAAGTCAATGCCGTCCAGTCCCTTTTTTTTTTTTATGCGGCGTGCTTGTGCTAATTCGGGAAAAATTAGCCACCAAACGGACTTATTCACTTGGAGAAAATGGAGTTATACTGAGGCATGATGTTGTCAGAGCTGAGAGTGATGAGGCATTGTAATGTGGTCATGGCGTGTATTTGTGTGGAGCATTAATTGCATAGTGGAGTAAATGTGAAGACGGCATAATCCGTATTATCAATAAATTTTGCAATTTTGTGTCGCCTCTGCTGACTTGTCATGTGCAAGTGATGCTCTATGGCCGGACTATAATTTGATTTCTGATGACACTGGAGTATGCGGTTTGGTACTTCGCGGGTTTCTGGTATAGTAGTGGTTCGTTTTACCATCGAGTGTACTGCCCTAGTATTTTCCCGAGCACGAGGTAGGCATACGCTCGGATGCAGCTCGCGGTCGTTGAGAGTTTATACATTGAGCCGAAGACGTACGTGCTGCCACCTACATCAAAGCGTGATATCCTATCACAATAAAGGGTAAGGTAACAGAAGAAGGAGTTTGCCAACGTATCGTAAACAACACTAGCGATCAGCTACGAAAATTACCCAGGCTGTAGGGTAGCATACGGAGTACATCGCAAGGTTGATTCAAATTAATGGCCCCCAGGACGTGACCAATGTGTTGTCTAAGATGGCTAGATAGTACGTAGTACGTCGTCGACACATGTCTTTTCCGCAAGACTGCCTTTTCAGCACACAAGCAAGGGGCACAAACCGGTTATTACCCCTATCTCTCGCGTCTGACAGACACCACAATACGGACTAACGGAGTCCCTATTTTTTTTATTCTGAAATGCCCATAATTAACATGCGGTGAAGGCTGTACCGCACTGCCAACCTTCACCGACGACACAGGAAATATTACTATAGCTCTATTTACATTACTAGGCGTCTGGACCCTCCTGCAGCCCATAATTTCTTTGCGGTGTGCCTGAGTTCTCATTAGATTTTATGCAGCGCAGAGTTCAGCCATGCTGAGCCACGAGTTATGTTCCATAAAAAAAGTGCAATACTATGGCGGTCAAAGCAGCGATTCATGGTTGGTTCCACCGTTGCACACATTGTTCACAAATAAACGATACTTCTTTTATGAAATTGACATCCCAAGCCGCCACGGGGCACGTCCTTGGGGGACGATTGAGCGGGAGGAGCATTGCAGGCCAGAAGTTTGCGATGGGACAAGGGGAAGGGGGGAACACGACGTGGATCCCAAGTGATCGTTCGACTCGCGAATGCAAGTCAAGTACGGAGTAGTTCCTCCCACCACGATGGCCATGGGTCATGATCCCGCCCGCGTCGACGGGAATTCGATAAGTTGATTCAGTTCTAAATAAGCAATCGGTAGACTGTCCGCGAAAATGAATGGCGCTCTTCGTGGGGCGGCCCCAGGCTAATATTATCCCTGAAGCGAGATGACCCGGCGAAGATAGGGGTAAGGACTAAGGTCCGATTTCTCTAGGGGGTTTCTACGGAGTATTTTGTCGTGAAATGCAATTTTAGGGTCAATTTCAAGCCCCCGTAGGGTGGTGGAGAGCGGGACAGGAGAGGTTTGTTTTTATCAACACGCCTGACGCGATGTCGTCCCAACTAGCACACACCCTGACAAGAATTCAGGAACAAGGAGAGATGCTCCAGGGCCATGGCTAAAGATCCAACAGTTTAGAAAAAGGGGTTGGCGAAATATTGTTTCAACGTAGGAGGTTGGAAACAGAGCCTCGCCCCGTGACAGCGGGATGACCCTCGGATCTGTTCCCGCGAAAGACGCCTCTGCCTTCCGCTGACAACACACAGATGTCAGATCCACAATTGCAACTCTTGCCGTTTGGTCGAGGCCATCAGACAGGCCCAGGGGCTTCTTTCCGAGTGCGTGTGGCGACAAGCAAAGTAAAAACAACAAAAAGGCAAGACACTGTTGTTCGTAACCTCAGGATCGACAGGCCACGCAGTGACCTCTGGTTGGCAAGTGCGTCTTGTCCCGACTTGACAGAGACGTGGGCCACGGGCAAGACGGGCCTCATTGGGACTCGAGCTTCCAAGCTCCCAAGACTTGGGCTGTTGGGATCCCTGGGGTCCCTGAGGTCTCAAGGCTTTGGAATTCACACCCTTGCCCCATCCATGGGGACGCGTCGAGCGGGACCACGTACTCCGTACCATGTCCTCCGTATGCACTATGTCGCAATGGCTCGCTCGGCAAACCTCGCAGGTGGTAATAGTCGTAGTTATTATACGGTTTTCCATGGCCTGGTCTCGCAGTGGAAAGGGGTTGTGGATCGCGCTGTTAGAGACTTAACACACAAGAGGTTCACAAGAATTTTGTTTTGTTTAGGATGAGGGATTCCGTAGACCAACGGATTCTTGGCCATGTCCAAGAGGGGGAGGGAAGAGGAGGCCGTGACCCAAAGTACCATTCCAAAAGCCTCGTGCGCCCATGCCCACGAGAGGCACAATTGGCGGGGAGGCCGGGATTCAAGATGCGCCCACGCAGAGAGTGAGTAGTTGCAGGCCTCGTGGGTCTGAGTCTTGGAAAAGACAGGGGTGAGGCAAGGGTACCGAGATAGACGGAAGTCTGGTGATTTGGTCAATCCGAGGGGAGGCATTGTCCTTTGTGCGAGCATTCACCTACCACTCGGAGCCCTGTATCGTACTCCGTACACCAAAACACCAGCAGCGCATAATCGCAACCGCCGCACACATGGACCTGGTACGTATGGCACATTCAGTCTCGCCACCAGCCGTCCTGTCCGGCTCCAGTTGTGCGGCCATGATGGCCCACGACAGCCGTGAACATTTGAATGTACCCAAGACCTGGGTGGCGTGTTGCGGGTTTTTGGTTGTGATGCCCAACAAGGGACGCGTCTCAGCGCGTGTTGCTCTAACCCGATTAGGTATAAGTGTAAACAAATGCGTCACTCCACCGGCAAGCCCCCGGCAGGCGCGACTGCAAGATCAGCCTGCCAGCCAGCCAGCCAGCCAGCCATGTCTGCCTGCGCTTCTACGGAAGGCACCAGACCCAGCGCCTGCGCCATACTGTCTGTACACAACGCAATAGATAACTACCTAGGTAGGCAAAATCGAGCGTGGCCGGCTCGACTGCTCCTCCTGGCCCAGTTCCTTCCCACACCTATTATTGAACACCTGAACACCTGAACACCTGAACACCTGAACCCTCCACATGTTCCATTCACATTCCAGTCGTCTGCTGTGTGTGTAATGTATATTTTCTTCATCGGCACTAGCACCCTTGGTACGTTGTCGCCCTGCGACTTTCCATGAGTCACGGATCAATTCTCGACCCCCGCTATGCGCTGAGAATCGAATGCGCATTGAGTTCGAGTTGAGACGAAGCAGAAAGACGAGCAGCTGCTGTTGCAGAAGTGAGCAGTGCGAGCTGGACCGAGACTGGGAAGAGAGTAGACGGGTGAAGCTGCAACATGTGGTAACTGCCGCCTGACCGAACCACACTCGCTTCCCGAACAGAGTACGGACAACACTCTCTGTATCCTTCTTTCCTTCGCTCCCACGCGGCTGGTGCATTCACACCAGACGACGCACGCTTGAGGGCTGTCTACTCTACCTTTGATCTTGTCTGCCTACCTAGGTATTCAAGCACTGGTAGCCTGGTTTCATTCAAATCCACCCTGCCCAAAATTGGTGACATACAGCATTGATTAACAAAGGCTGGCGCTGGCACGGAAGACTTGTCGCCTTCAAGGCCCATTGTCGCAAACTCCTTGGTTGCTCACATTTACCCAGCCTAGAAAGTGACCTGTCTGAGCTCGAGATTATCACGGCGGCATTCAACTCATTCTCGGTATTGAAAACGCGGGACAGCCAGAGGTCTATATACGTACCACGTATTTGAATTAGGTTGACGCTCGACATTCCTGACTGGAGCGTATCTCGCGATAACCCCGGAATCTTGAGGATTGCATTCCAGTAACCCTCATAAACACTACAATGTCCTTCTCCAACGGTGGAGGTACACTGGCTCTGCCATCACCCACACATGCCCATCACATGGACGTGTCGTCGGCAGTGCGCAGTCTTAGACGCTCCATCTCCCGATCACCATCAAAGTTCTTGTCGCGAACAAGCTCACAAAGCTCGGATAGCTCACGACAGGCCTCACCTCAGTCGCCTTGCCGACGTTTCGGCGCGACCCCTCAACGACAATATATCTCACCGTCACAGCCCCAAACCGCTCCTCCAGCAATCACGTCAACGCATGCCTCAACGCCTCACCAATCTTCTGTTCTAACACCTCTCCGCCCGAGTGTTCGACTGTCGCTGCGTTCCGCCAAATCCGCCAAGTCAACATCAACGTCATCTCGCCCGCTGGCTCGTGCGCGGGTTTCACCAAAGAGCCCCCTCAAACGAGCCTTGAGTGCTGCTCCCGATTCTGGTAATCTGGGCCAGCCATCGGTTACGTCTTCACCCACATCAGTCACCCCGCGTGGCCAGGAAACCAAGTCGTCGCCTCGATCCGCGCATAGCACTGGAGAAAAACCATCACGCCATAGCTTTCACTTGGACGTGTCAGGGTCATCACAATACTCAGCACTCAAGGCCCTAGACACCCCCAGCAGTGAGTCCTACATGGTCTCAACGACTGGCGCGTTGAAGCGCAGTGATGCGACGATGAACCTGGATTACCCCAATCAAGGCAGTCCGGCCTCAAAGCGGCGTAGCTTGCATGGAGTTGCCGGTCTCGGTCCCCCTGGGGAGTTCAATATATTTGGCGCAAATACGTCATCCTCACAAAGCTTCGACATCCATGAAGATCCGCAAGCATCAGAGTATGAACTAACGGGAGCAAATAATGGCCTTCACTCAAACCGTGAACCTCTTTCTTCTCCCAGCCCGGTAGCAAATCTTCCGAGGCGATCTTCTTCGCTGCGGAAGTCAACCTTGCAGCAGAGATACGGTGACAAAGGCTCATGGGGTCGAAGAACTGGAGAAAGACAACTCGCACAACTGGGCGGTGATAGTTCCACACCAGGTCGAATCCGGCCTCGTCTTTCTACAGATCATTTTCTTCCCCCCCCGGTACCTCGAGACAGCCCGTTTAATGCGGGAAGCCCTCTGCCTAATGCTTCTATTCATCCATTGGACAACAAAGGGCAACATCAACCTCACCCTTTATCCAAAACCCTCACAACCTCCACCTCTGGCAACAACTTAACGGAGGAACCTTCTGGGTATGCACCGGGCGCTAAAGCTTCCGGAAAGTCCAAACCACATATATTTTCCCGTTCTTTGCCCTTGAACGCAACCAGACCAACTGCACGCTCTACCAATGACCACAACAAGGCTGTTGCTACACCCAGTCGATCCCACCAGCTCTGGATTGCTGCTTTTAACTCCACAGGCCTTATATCCAAGGTTAATCGGAATCCTGAGGAAGAGGCCGACAGGAAACTTGCGCCGCCAGACACGCCTTGCAAGAAGCATACTAATCCCTTTGCCACATTCCCTCCTCCAGTTGGCAGTGCAATAAAGAGAAAGGGTAACAACCGAAACTCTTTCGCTGGCCTTCCTTCAACACCTTTCCACTCATCCTCATCGCGAGCTCCCGACACCTTTGGGCAACCTGCCAAGGGACTTTCTATTTTCCAACGCGGCTCCGTATCAAATAGCTCGCGTCGCGGCAGCATTCTAAGCTTAGAGGGCGAAGATAGAAAATTATTTTGCGACAGTAACGAATTGCCAAGTATTTCGGATGGAGATATTCCGCCGACACCGACCAAAACGACAACCCTCACCACGAGCTTGAGCAATCTTAGCGAGCAATCACTTGAGAGTCCCAGCGCCAACCGAACATTCATTCTGCCGCTTTCTGCCGTCAAGCCAGCGGCGTCACGGGAATCAACTAGTAAGCATCACTCCTGATGATTTCCGACTGACCATTTTACTAACAAGATGCGAATCGTTCAGGAAGCCCAGTTGATGGCCGCAGGACTCCTCAAACACCACAAGAGTCATTGCTTCCTTTGGATACAAGCCGTCTGTCTATTTCACAGGCGCCTGATAATGTAAATGAGAACACCATGCCTCCACCAGTTACTCCTACCGCTGGCCGTGACTTCCGATCATCAACCAGCATTTTTGTCACACCGGTCAATGCCCGTACCAGCAGCCTGGATATTGACGCTAGCCTGTACTCGAGGTTTGATAAAGTTGAGCAAATAGGCAAGGGCGAGTTCTCTACCGTGTACCGTGTGACCAAACTTGAGCATGTCAACGCCTTTACGTTGGGCAATATCACCCCAAGTAACAGTGCCAGCCGCAGCCCTGCCAAAGGCCAAGTGTTTGCGGTCAAGAAGAGCCGACACTCTTATTACGGACCCAAAGATCGGGAGACGAAGCTCCGCGAGGTTCGCATTCTTCAGGCATTGACGCATGCTGAGCACGTTGTTCAATATGTTGATGATTGGGAAAACAACTTTCACCTTTACATCCAGACAGAATTTTGTGAGGAGGGTACTTTAGAGAAGTTTCTAGGGAACATGGGGCGAGGTGGCCGGTTGGACGATTTCCGAATCTTTAAGATTTTGCAGGATCTATGCTTGGTAAGTAACCATGTTGAGTATGCTGCTACAATGGGGAGTATTTGTACTAACTGTGCCTGGTGTAGGGATTGAAAGAAATTCATGATGCTGGATTTATGCATTTGGATATGAAGCCGGCAAACATTCTCATCACTTTTGAAGGAGTGCTGAAGATTGGTGACTTCGGACTGGCTCAGCCATGCACGTCAACAGAGGGCGTCGATGTAGAGGGCGACCGTGAATACATGGCTCCCGAGATGCTCAAAGGCAAAGCCGGTCAATCTGCTGACGTGTTTTCGTTGGGTCTAATGACGTTGGAGGCCGCTGCAAACGTGGTACTACCCGATAACGGTCCCACCTGGATCGCCTTGAGATCAGGGGATCTATCTGAGGTGCCTAGTCTCACCTGGACACCCTCACTCGAAGTCCAGAGGGATGCCATTGGAAATCCCACCGAGTCTGCACATAGCGATGATCTTCAAGAGGGAAAAAGAAGTGCCAGTAACTTGTTCGGTTCGTTTAAGCGATCAGAACTACAGCAGGCCCCCGAATTCATGCTTGAGGCATTTCACCCCAGTTCGCTTGACTCTATTGTAAAATGGATGACGGCGCAGGAACCAGCAGCCCGCCCTCTAATCGACCAAGTCCTTGAACTCGAAGGCCTTCGATGGGTCGCTGAGCACCGCAATGCACCCGCAACAGTGTACGAAGGAAACTGGGGCCCCGCTGAGATGTTTCCCGTTTCTATTGCCAATGACAGTGATACGGAAATGACCGACGTCTGAGGAATGAGGAAGATAGGAGCAGTGAAGAAATTCTTGGGGCTCTTTGTCCTGACGAGGATATAACAAAACTCCTTATTACGATTATTCAAGATATACTATATACCCTACGCACCAGTGAGATGGTGCATCGATATGTGGCAACTGGCGACTCTTGTACCGGAATATGTACAAGTTAATACTTGGCAACGACGTCTTTGGAGTACGATATGACAAATGGCTGCCACTGGATGGTAAACCAAGTGTCGCAACCCAACAATGCGATTGACGACTACCAAATGTGTGATACTTACCTATACAAGCGACTGTGGTATTGCTTTGCCTGTTTGAGTTTTCTGTTGTCAAGCTGCGGAGGTGAAGACAACGATTCTTGTGGTGAAATTCTTCAGCGAAATGATGCAGGAGGCAAGAGCCAAGTCAAGACATGGTCTTTGGGATGTTAGATACAGTTATGAGTAAGGAAGCTCGTATAGGTATCTCAACCTCCTCCTTTTTTTTTTGGGATGTACAAGGCGTCTGGATTGTCGCAAAAATATGTAGATATAGATATTTTGTGTTGGGCGGAAGGTGGATTTGTGACTGGTACTGTCGGTAGGAGCATTACGGATCTCGATGGCGTCATGGGGCAATTGGGTTGCCGAATCTGTTAGTCATGGTTCTATGATGAAATGGCATGAAGATTTTACGACCCATTAAACATTTTGAACCTTGCTATGTGTGTTGTGATGTGTGAACGCGTGTTACAGCAGTAGCGGGTAGTTGAATGCGGAGATGTGTTTGGGGCTGAGGGGGATACGGAAGTACTGGGTACCTTAGGCCGCGGTGAGTGAGGGGTCTGCATGAGAAGACTGCGCTGGATCAAGAAAGTCTTCCAACTCTGGGTACCTAGAGTAGGTACCTAGGTACCTAGCACCCATCTACTAGGTAATTCCTGACTGCAATTTTGATCATCTCGGACTAGTGAAAAGATTTCATACCTGGCATCTGCTAAATGCCAGGCTCATAGTCGTATGTCGTGGTTCTTGTTCCCTACTTGAACACCCGATTGAACTTGTGTGAATAGGTGTATTCGCGCGATACTAGAGCACCCTACCTAGATCAAGTTCCCTTCCCATCGTTCTCACGATGACTGGCACTACGTTAGAAAAGGGACAATCTGGCCTCCCCACGCCCGATAGCACTCATTCATACTGGCATAGAGAGCCGTCGACCGTACTCCTCGGACACAGAACAACGGAGAAGCTCCCCCCCACAGCAGATGTCATTGTTGTTGGAAGTGGGATAACGGGTGCTTTTGCTGCGAGGGAGCTGGCAAATGAGGGAAGGAGTGTGTTACTTCTTGAAGCAAGAGAGGCCTGCTGGGGAGCAACAGGCCGAGTAAGTGAATACTTCATACACACTCCCGGAAAACAAGTCGGAATGTGCATTAATGGTGATAGAATGGCGGCCACTGCCAGCCCATGGTATACGGGTCCAAACCTAGCATTGCTCGATTTGAACTGGGCACATACGACTTCATAAACGACTTTATTGCCAAGAACAAAATCCCCTGTGATTGGCATACCGTCGGCGGCGTACATGGCATATTTGACGACGATGTGTTGGAGGCCGTCGAGAAAATTATCGAGCGACTAAAGACCAGTCACCCAGATCTCGCTGAGAAGGCTACTCTCGTCAAGGACGAACAAGGGAGAAGGACGCTTCGTGTACCGCAGGCCCGTGCTGCAGTGTACCAGCCTCATGCCGCCAAGCTGTGGCCGTATAAGCTCGTAGCGTGGGTTCTTGAAAGTCTGCTGAAGGAGTTCCCGGACACCTTCAATATGCAGACCAACACGCCGGTCGAGTATTTGCAACACTCTGACGATATATGGATTGTGCATACTTGCAGGGGACAGGTTGCCGCCAAGGACGTACTCCTTGCTTCGAACGCTTACACGTCTTGCCTGCTGCCCAAGATGACGGGCATCATCACGCCGGTTCGCGCGCAGATTGTGGGGTTGACGCCGCCGACGGGTGATATCCCACTTGAACACACGCATGTCTGGGCAAAGGGCAGGAATGAGGACTATTTGATCCAGCGGGATGGTGATGGGATTCTCATCCTTGGCGGGGAGAGGTATGCTGCCTCTGGTGCCGAGGAGGGCATTTGGGACGACAGCAACGTAAGTGCCGATGTTGGGCGGAAACTTCGCCACGAACTTGGCCAGAGTCTCAAGTTGCGTGGTTCCGACCACGAAGAGAGGAATCAGCTGGATGCACAGTATGAGTGGACGGGCATAATGGGCTACGTAAATGACGGTCATCCTTGGGTTGGTAGAGTCCCTACCGAGTTTGGAGGCGAAAGGGACAGTAGTGGACATGGTCACTTATGGATCAGCGCTGGGTACAATGGGCATGGGATGACGGCTGCTGCGAGGTGTGGTGTGAGAGTGGCCGAGATGATAGTGGGAAAGGAGGCGAGTTTTGATTTACCGAACGAGTATGAGGCGAGTGAGGAGAGGGCGGAGAGGGCGAAGCGGTTGGCTGGGGGGAGATTGGCCTTTGTAGATGAGTTGAGGGCTTTGCTGGAGGAGTAGACGGAGGTAGCAGAGACGTAATGAAGTTCACGGTAACCGTTTTCCTGGCCCGCAAGGCAGAATTGATTGACAATTGTCTATAACAAGGCACACCGATGAGAATGTGCTGTAAAACAGTGGTCATCTCTGGTAGCAGAGGGTAGTTGGTGTTTGAACATGTGTCCAACTGACTGAGAGTTTTGGGATGGATTGTGGCCTCGCAATGAGTGAAACTTTGGCCGAATAGTGTAGTATATTCTTTCACAGAACTTGGAGAGCAGTCGGATGTTGGTATTATCATGATGAGTGAGTGCAGTTGAGCTGGTGAACCTGTCACACAAAAAAAGGGCGTGGCCACGCCACAGTATTTTATACCCATCTACCGTTGGTGGGCTGGAGGACGTTCCTAGGCTAGGCTGTCCTTCATCAGAGGGCGCTGCCGTTGACCGTATTCTCATGGGGCTAGAAAGTTCGGGGCGATGCCGTTTTTCTATAAACAAGAAGACTTCAATTTCCAACGTCGTAGGCACGAAACAACTTTTCGATGTTCCAAATCGTATTGCACAAACAAGCAAAGTCTCGCTCCTCACGTAAGGCGGCACATTACCGATAATCAGCCGACCACCCAATCACAGCAACCCATTTGCAAGCACCATCAAACGTTTGGCGTGGTCATGGACCAGTCGACATTTCGACTTGGAGAAGGCTCTCTCAAGACCACAAACTCCCTCGCCTCTTCGCCCTGCTGCCTCCCCCTCCGCCGACGACCGCCATTGACGCCGCTCAATCAATTCACAATGGCGAGCAAGATGACTCCCTTCCTCTTCCGCTCATGTGTGCGCGCTGCATCCCGCGTGGCTCGGCCCCAAACGCGCGCCTTCTCCGTCACAGCTTGCCGGCCGAGCGATACCTTGATGATTGTACGTCTTGTCCACTCCTCCAGACTTCTCCCCCGCCCCGAGGGATCGAGCCAATTCGTGTACTACGACCCTCTAAGGTGTCGATAAGACTCGAAATTAGCAAGAGACGATGGGTGTCTAGACCCGGCATGGACGGGCAATCATTGCCTCTCGAGGAGGAACATGACTTTTGAGCATGCCGATTGCTGATAGTTCATCCGTAGCACCGAAATACCGCGGACAACAACCCCGACATCCCCTTCAAATTCAACAAGGAGAATGAAACCGTCATCGCCGAGATTCTCAAGCGGTATCCCGAGCAGTACAAGAAGGCTGCCGTCATGCCCCTGCTCGACCTGGGCCAGCGCCAGCACGGCTTCACCAGCATCAGCGTCATGAACGAGGTCGCTCGCCTGTTGGAGATGCCGCCCATGCGAGTGTACGAAGTGGCCTCCTTCTATACCATGTACAACCGGAACCCCGTGGGCAAGTTCTTTGTCCAGGCATGCACAACGGTACGCAATTCCCTCATGGGCTACCGCGACGACGGTCTCTCTTTTTGCAGTTCAAAAAAAAAAAAACACTCTAAATTGCTGACACTCGACAGACCCCCTGCCAACTGGGCGGCTGCGGATCCGACGTCATTGTCAAAGCCATCAAGGAACACCTCGGCATCAAGCAGGGCGAGACGACGGCCGACGGCCTCTTCACCTTTATCGAGGTCGAGTGCCTCGGCGCCTGCGTCAACGCTCCCATGATCCAAATCAACGACGACTACTACGAGGACCTCACGCCCGAGACCGTTGTCGATCTGCTCAAGGCCCTGAAAGCGAGTGCCGGCGATGCCAGCGCCGCCGCCAAGGTCCCCAAGCCCGGGCCCCTGACGGGCAGAGACACGTGCGAGAACAGCAAGGGCCAGACCAACTTGCTGGATGAGCCGTGGGGCGTGGAGAAGACGAGATCGGACTTGTAGTAGATTTAATTATTCCTCTTTTTTTGTTCTTTCCATATGTACGTTTAGCTGGAAAGAGACGAGTGTAAGCTGAGATGTTGCGATGCCTTGGAGACTCAGCGGGTGAAAGCCCTGGGGTCAAAAAACAGACACTGTACATAAAATAACACCATTGAAATACCACGTGGTTTAGACTTTTTTTCTCTTTTGGTTCCATTTGGATATTGCTCGTGTCCGTGCACTAGGCAATCTCATTGCCACATGAAGGGCGAAATCAGCACTCGTGCGCTACCAACGTAGGTACGTCCATATTCGCAACCAATTTTCTTCTTTGTCCCAATCAATCACGCTTACCAAGGCGGAGGATCCAACCATCGCCCATCGTCTTATTATCGGCGCCCAAACCGCCCCAAATCATGATGCCCCTCTCCTCCAGATCGGCCAGGGGCGCGCTCGCGATCCATCCCCTCGCGGCGGGCACCCCGTCGCCGCTCTCGTCGTCGTACTCGGCCATGCTGACCTTTTCCCACCGCCCCTCGCCCGTCCTCCTCCCCACGGCCTGGAGGAAGGCGGCCCGGAAGCTGGCGGCGGTCATGCCCAGCGGGGGCACCTCAAAGGTCCACACGTCGTCCAAGAAGGCGCCGGGGGCGCGCTCGCCCATGGCCAGCACGAGATGCTCCTTGCCGCCGCCGGCGGTGAGGGCCTGCCGTCCCGCACAATGGTCTGCCAGCCCGCGCGGGCGTGGACCGCCACCTCGCCCCGGGAGGCGCCGTCGTCAAAGGTTTCCACCTCGAGGTGCAGGAAGTCGAGCCGGCCGCCGACCTCGGACTCGCCGTCGTGGCCGCCGAAGCGGAAGAGGCGGCTCTTGGAGATGCAGATGGCCGCGCCGCCGCGGGACGGGCCCGGGGCGGCGGGCAGCTCGGTCCATGTCCGCGAGCGCACGTCAAAGGCCCAGAGGTCGCTCGTGCGGTCGCCGCCGGCGAGGCAGCCCGCGTGCACGAAGAGGGTGCCGTAGCCGTCCGACTCGTGGTCCACGGCCTGCTCGGCCACGTAGCCCACCACGGGGTCCTGCGGGATGCCCGTCCTGGAGGTGTCGCCCAGCGCCCACTGCCGCCAGGTCCGCGGCCTCCCGGGCGCAGGCACGGGGAAGTCGCGAGGCCGGTCGCTGGCCGTCGCGCAGTGGTGGCTGCGCGGG